TTTAAACAAAAATGTAAGTAATGTAAAAAAATAATGCCGGATTACTCAAATTAATTTAAATAAAAATATTTAATTTAACTAGTAACATAATTTTATAACTTCTTAAAAGTTATTCACCCAACATATGTGTCTTATAAAATAAATTTTATTTGAAAAACAATATTTAAGAGAATCCAGAATTTGATTATGGTAATTGACTGAGAATATACAGTTGTTTTTGTTAAAAATTTAAATCTCTTACAATAGAGTAAAACATCAAAACTTAGCTTATTATAATATTGATTTGTATATTTTTTTAGATGCCTATGCCAATGCCAACACCAATTACTTCTGCACTAGCACCCAATACAAAATCTCGAAAAGATCGTGATAACGAATTACTAGAAGAGTTTATTGAAATGTTTGCTAAACATTTTTATGACTTATTAAATGATCTTGGTGTTCCAGGAAAAAATCAACTGGACTGTCGTCATTTTTATGAAAATTGTACAATGTCATTGAAAATTCTTGGTGGCAGCAGTGAAATTTGTGAGACTTGTGAAGATTCTGCATCTACATTACAATGTTTATTAGGTATCAAGAAAGAACACATACTCTTTTTTTCACCACATTTAGGCGATGTTAAATGGAAAAAAGAATCACATGGTTTAGTAAAAGTGCATATTGGTGGTACCCTTCATCAAGGTGTTGGAAGAATGGTTGGAATGTTTGAACAACAATTCATACTCAGAGAAGATCCTCAAGCTGAAAACACATGGAAAATTCTTAACACAAATTTTATGATGAAAAGTATGGACTTAATAACTGCTGGACCTACTTTAAGCATACAAGGACCTCACCAAACAAACCATTTACAAATTGATAATGTTTAATTGTATATACTAAAACTCGAATAATTCAATTATATGAGAATAATATGTAACATTGTTTAACATTTTTATCATACATTTAATCTTAAAAGAACGTTTTACCGACATTTGTTGTCTCCGTCTTACAAGTGCGTAACATAGCAACGGATTACATTTAGCTCTGTTTATAAATTAGAGTGAATTGACCTCTTATACAATTTAAAGTTAAGATTATTATCTAGGCAATATTATTGTAAGCTTTTCATTATATTTTAAGATTTAAAAACAATTTACAATTTTAAAATACTTATAACTCGCTTTAAAATTAAAATATAATAAAAAGCCTGCAATAGTATTGCCTGGATAATAATCTTAACTTTAAATTTTATAAGAAGTAAATTCACTAATTTTTAAACTAACTGAGCTAAAAGTGATTTGTTGCTTTGTTACACATTAGAAAGACATAGACAATAAATTTTTAGTATAACCTCTTATACAGTGATATTTTTATTTGAATAGTAAAAATGTTTAAAAGGATGTCAGCTCATATTGTTTTCCTCCTTTCTGGTCAAAAATAAGAGAACTTGACTCAGAATAAAATCTGTCTTCATCTACAGTTGAAAATTTAATTTTTAAAGAATTATAATTTAATTTGTAAATATAGGTATTTACTAGAATTATGTGAAATGATGTTGTTGCTTGACACAATTAAACAATCAGTACCGTTGCCACTAGGATGGATATTTTGATCTAAATGATCTTTTTAAATGATGGGTACATTTTAGAAAGAAAACATCTAGGACATATTATGCAGACAATAAAAAATAATCATCCATAGTAGTCTTTCCAAGATTTGGAATGGGAACTGCACATCTTTTTAACATATTAGATCCAGGGCTTAAATCATGTATATTAAAATGATTTGAGCAAACTCTTTACCTGTAGAATCTATACCATAAATTATTCTTCATCTAGTATTTGAATTCATTGATTGATCAGTCATATGTTTCTACTTTTGGATTATAAAAACGGGTAACATTAAATACAGTTTTTAAAATAAAATTTTGTTTTTTGCTAGGTATATCAATCGAAAACTATATGTAGTCATTGCGGAAATCATTAATTGTCTATAAAGTTCTTATTAATCATACAACAAAATAAACGCGTTTAATAGCTTTAAGTCTTAGTAGTAAAGTAATTTAATCAACTGTAAAATATCAAGAAGCATCGGCACACAAAAAAAAATTATAATAATAAATAATATTTACTAAAAATAATTAACAAAAATTTTGATTATTCTCAAATGAATACTACCTATATTTTTTTTGTGATCTTATTTTTTTCATTACATTTTTCCCTCTGGGAGTTTCCAAAAACTTTCTAAAATCTTTGCAGGTCTCTTCAAAATTAGTTTCTACGATTAGTTCAGCTTCTAAATTTTGCAACAATAATCTGTTCACTTCTCCACGCAGTTTTCATCAAGTCGATAATACGTTCTGACATCGCATTTGAATGTGGTATTGATAATACATAGGTGATAGGTCAGAGATGGCGAACCAATGACACGCTCAAACTATAATAGTGACACAAACGAATGTGTACAAGTTTGATAATATTAAAGTTTTTGAAAAAAAATTGAAAGGTTATCGAACTAGTTGACACGCAGAGAAAACAGAATCCAACCAAAATTTTTATTTGACACGCTGGTACAAAAAGGTTCGCCATCCCTGACATAAGTAGTTAAAAATGTTTTCAAGACTAGGGCCTAGGGGCATTAGTTTCTTTTAAAAATTGAACCCATTTTTTATCAGATGAGGTAGTTTCAAATTTATTATCATGGCCGATATTTGCTAAAAAATACCAAATATGCCTCCGTAAGTTCATGGACCATGATTAAAAAAAATCTGAAAATATTTTTGAGGTATTTTCTTGTGATAAAAAGTACGATTTAACTGGTTCAAATGTTTTAATTTTTTGCATTTCTGTTTGGAACAGTATAATGCAGAAAAGTACTTATTGAAATTCTTAAGAAGCGTAAAAGCGTTAACGTCACTAAAGTGTTAAGTAAACTGTTAAGTCAAAGTGCAAATACACTATACAATCGGGAATAAATGAATAAAAACAAAAAATTCGATTTTCACACAACTGAGTACTGACAGAAAACAAAAACAAAAACAAAACATAAATCATGAGCCATGACATAGAATAATAGTAGGTAGGTAATCGGTCAGTTTAATATTATAAATTATCCATGGTCCGTGGTATAGATGTAAATTTCTTAAACAAAAATGGTGTTGCAGGAAACATCAATTAACATGTATTAACATAATTTATTATACTTGAGAAGTGAAATTTAAAGATACTTTAGGAAGACGGGGGAGCCGGGGAGGGTCTCCAATTTATCATCCATGGACAATGTATTCACATTTTAAAAACGTAAAAAAACGCTTTAATAAATTTAATGACCACAAACATTTTGAAAAGTTATCATATTCAAATAAACTATATGACTATATCTAATAAAAATTAAAATCTATTAGTTTATAACCGCATAAATTGAGCTTACACTTTCATTTTTTCAGCTCAAGTAAAAAAACTTTTTTCGTTTATCTATGGGGTTGCCACTTACCTTTGAGTACATATTATAATTTAAATTACTAGGTATCATAAAAGAATTATCTCAAATATGGTACATACATTTTTTTACAAATTTATTTATAAAATAAAAACAAATCTTTAGCAAGAGCAACGCCGCGAGGGACAGTTAGTATAAAAAAAAATACGAGTTGAAATGTCAAATAATACAATTACGAAGATTACCAAACTGCCTATTTTCTATAATAAAATTAGAAATGGTATTTAAAAAACACTGCCGACATTAGGTTTATTCCTCACAAACATGTTTTAATTATTGTTTTATTTATGATAGTAGGTACCCAATTCACACTATTCAATTAAATCATGAAAATCGGTCCAGTAGAACTTCAGATAAAAGTGGATTCACCTCGAGTTTTAATATTATATTATAGACATTAAGGTAATTTATATGTATATTCAATATTATTTTTTTATAATAGACGTACGTGGTTCTAAAATTTCACGTTGAAATGGATTCGTAAATCACGATTGATCTTGGTTTCAAGCTTCCCAATAAGGCACTAAGGCAGTAACCCTTATAGTCTTCTATTTATATATTGAGATAGTGTGTTCTAGAGCCTTTTTTAAATTTTAAGCTTACTTTTTCATTTAAAGTTTTATTCTGCTCTTTAGTCCAGCCAATAATTAAATATGGTGAGTCAATGAACTTGACCCGCTGACAAGGATACATAAATTTGAAAATGATACCAATATTTTGAGAGCAGCTTTTGCAGGAGAGTGGGCCAACTCTCCAACTTCATGTAGCCCACCTACTTCACCCGATTTCGTCGGGATTGTGTCAAAAGCTTTATTTTAATTTGAGAGAATTTACGAGTCATCCAAGATGGACCACCAACACAGTACTCCCTCTCGTCTGTATGTCAACCACAGTTGGCACCACCTCCCGTAGGGACGCAGTGTCTAGCAGCGGGCAAGTTTCTCACCGTGCCCGTCAAAAACCACCCTCAAAGTCGAAAATCGAAACATTTTTACTGCACCAAACCTCAGAACATGACACACGTCATCAATCATTATTGTAAATTAAATACATTCATATCTCAGCTCAGAATTCAAAATACTGGAAAACCGGAATTTGGTTCTTTCGTGGGTCTTTTTGAGCTATTTATTACCTATGTAGATTGTCATAAATATTGTCAACATTTGAACTTTGCTAATTTCTACATTGTACAAAATTAAAATCCAGAAAGACATTTTAACGTTATTATTTATACACAAGTCATATTTAAATTAATCGTTAGGGGCGTTAGGGCCACTACATTTATTTTAATCCTGCCTTGGAGACCAGACTACAGGACTCGTAGTGAACACTGTAGTGACTAGTGACTACTGACTAGTGGAGTGTCGGTCGTCGGTCCACTCGGAGTTCGGACGGTGGCGCGTTCCATACCCACGTCGCGGTCGCAGGGGTTCACAAATCACCGGGCACGCCACCTGTTGGCAAATATGCGCGTCCCGCCGAGAATGCGCGTGTGTGACCGTGCGAGACGCGAGTACGGCGCTCGCGGGTGCACGCGCTCGTGCGTGTGCGTGTGTCCGTCGTCACATCTCCGCAGCATCGTTCTCGCACACGACCGCGGACAATCGAAACGGATAACGTCGGCCAACGGGAGATTCGCGTTCGATTATTATTATATTCTCCTAGCCGTTCAGTTGATAAAAACGTACGACGATAGTCGATACAACAATCAGTGACGGTGAGCGGCCACAGTCAAAAGTATAATATTATTATTTATTATCGTCGCGGTCTTTGTGTTAGCCGTCCGCATTTTCGCGCGTACAACAGAGGTAAGTGGCTTAGCCGGCCGTCGACAATCACGTCAACACGTCTTCCGTTACCGTCCTCACGACGATAACAAACTATTATAACATCGCGTCAGATCTGTGCGAGTTTTTCCACCCTCTCCGTGTGTCGTTTCTCGCGATGATACGCTTGTCCGACGTGGTGTCATGACTTAGACACGCGACGTCCGTTAAAGTCTCCGGTCGTCGTCACGACCGCGACGACGACGGGCCGAAACATGATCACGCGACCATCGTCCCATGGCCCAGTATGAGTTCCTGCCGCTGTGCGACGTCCTGTTCAACATCATCTCGCTGGCCGCGTACTTCTGCGACATCGTGTTTGACGTGGTCATGGGCTACGCTCTCTACTCGCACGGCCGCTACGTGCCGTTCGTCCTGACCATGTTGTTCGTAGGGGCGTCGGCCACCGTCGAGCAGACTATGTCGCTGCGATGGTACCTGGCTGCGCGAGCCGTCGGCGACAAGTCCACGCTTTCGGACCGGCTGAAGCGGTTGGCCGTGCAGGCGTTGCACTTTGTTCAGCTGGGTGTCCTGTGGAGGTGCGCCCCCTTAATTTTTTTTTACCGATACTCCCATGCACCCACCACCCACAGTTTACCTGATGTCCGCTGTGTCTCATTTCAGGTACTTCAAGCTGTTCCTGCCCGTCGACCTGCGGTATGTCAAGTTCGAGGTGCGCGACCTGTGCATGCTACGTCTGTTGCACGCATTCTGTGAGTCAATGCCGCTGCTGCTGTTGCAATCCTACCTGCTGTGGACGGACGGCGGCGACCGCAAACATTTGCGTGACCTCAACAAGGTGGCCGTCACACTGTCCACCGTCAGCGTGTGTTGGGCTCTGGCATCATTCGGCAAGAATGTGCGCATGCAGAACGTCCACAGGCTAGTCCTCACATGGCTTGGAGTCATATTTCAGGTACGTGTCTCTCACTACATCAACCTTACAGTACCTATGTATGTTTATTGTTTGTAACGATGGCTATTTTGTTATTGTATAGTTCCTGTGGCGTTTGGGCACCGTTGGGGCCAGAGTCATTTCGTTGACTGCCTATGCAGCTATGTACAAATATTGGGTGCTATTGGTACTTGGTTTACACTGGTTGTCTGTGTTACTGTGGCTACATTCTCCCAAGAATGTGTTTCACGGTGAACGGATGTCTCCTAAACGTAAAGCTTTTTTGTTTGCACTCCTAGCTTTTGTATTCACATTTGAATATGTCAACCTACTGGAGAACAATCATAGAGAAAAAATGGTGAGTACCTAAGGAGTGTTAAACATTTAGTAGAAAAACTATTGAAATCCATATTATTCTAAAATACATATTAATGTTTTTATATTAATTTAATAGTTTACCTATTTTCAATTTTCTTAACAGGTGTGTACATACACATTTTTAAATGGAAAAACATTGTTTTACCTAGTTGTTTGGTTTTTTTGTTGAAAATAGTACAACTAATTATGTATGTATAATTTGCATATTTATTTTTGTTGCTTTTTCCAAAATATGTGTTCTATATATATGTAAATAATGTTTTCTTTTTATCTTAATGTGATATTCTGTCAAAATACAAGCACTTGATATTATTTTATACTTTATTGGGCACTATAAATCAATTTTATCGATTTTACACTAATTTCAAATTCAATTATTGATCAGTATCTAGTATCTACCTACTGACTACTGTAGTAAAGTTTAATATGTATTTAATATTTCTGGATTTCAATTAAATTTAAATTTTACATTCTAAAATTTTGTATTGTTTTATAATTTCTCTGTCTACATTCTTTGAATTATTGTATCATTCATTGAACAAAAATAAAGATCTAAATTTCATATTAATTTGAATGAATATTTTTGTAGTTGATGTTTTATGTGGTGATGGCGTTAGAAAATGCTCTTCTCATGTTTGTGTGGAGCATTGACAGTGGTGATGCAGTCAAACCATTTATCGTTCTTGGGCTGTTCTGCTGTGGTCTTGTGTTCATGGCAGTTTATTATCAGTTTTTCCATGTAAGAAGATTGAAATATGAATCTGGAGGCCGACTGAGCAATGCTACAAATAGTAACAACTCAACAGCAAAGCTAGCGTTAGAAGCCAAGTATAAAGATCAGCTAAATGTGCCTATTGGGAAGGTAAGAATTTGGTTAATTACAGTATTTATATTATGACTAGAAATGTATGTACCTTACCAATACTAAAAAATAAATAGGAAATTGAATTCATATACTTATTATTGATAGTTCACACCTACCTATATTGTTAGATATACTGCTAGAAAATTACATTTAATATATATCTACTTTTATTTATTTTTATAATTGGGTCTATTATACTAGTCAGTAGATGTTTATGAATGTCGGGTGCATAAAAATTGTTATGTTCATCAAGAGGAAAAATGAACTGACAAAGATAAGATTTAAAGACTAGAAATGTAAGCAATATAAAATCTTAATGCCTTGGGAAAATAAAAAATAGATTTATAATTTTATTTGTGATTTATCTCACTGTAAATATTGAAATTATTGTCTTTTTAGTTATAATTTATTAAAAATTAGTTATTTGCTATTTTTACTGAATTTATAATTAATTGATCTTACCGGTATACTGATAATTGAAAGTATTTTTGATAAAATATGTATTTCACTGATACTCTATGTTTATCTCTATTAATAACATTATTTTTTTATCAATTTAACAGACTGACCTTATAAGGAGACACAGCTTTAGCAGTGTGTATGAGAATATACCACCAGGCGGTTACCACAATCAAGCTATTGCTAGTGAACCCCCTCCAACCTTACAAAGAAACCAGAGGTATTATAGCGCATTGCCAGCAAGTGTACATAATGGTATTCCCGGCGTTTTCAACTGTCGTTTCACCAACCCATATGTGGCAGCCATGCAAAAGCGCAAAAAAAAGAAGCCAACCACATTTGTGCCACCACCATCCGGCACAAGTGGCCGAGATAGTGTTGCATTTTGGTGCAAGCCACCTCCGTCCAACCATAGCCAACAGGGTTCCAGTGAAAATGAGAGTGCCAGCTCTCACGTGGATATCCGGCAGAAATTACAAGAAAAAAGACAAAACCAACTTGCAGAACTCCGCGCTATTGAAGAGGAAATAAGGCAAGGCAAGTTAAAGGAACCGACAGAGAATGGAGAAGTACTGTTGTCTCCTCAGGGATACCTACAACAACAACATTGGATTGCTCCACCTTATAGGTAAGTTGTACCTCCTATAATTTGTATGTGAGTGTTCGATAAATTTTAGAGTATTAACTAACATCGCATTTTTAGTGCTCAAGATAACAATGCTCAACCAAACGATCAAGTGTTCACATTGATGTACAAATCGTACAAATCGCCATCCGATTTAGACTCACAGATATCACTGCCTCGTTCATACACATTACCCAGGGAATTTAAATTCTACAGAAAAGTAAGGCCCAGAAAAACTATACGTTCTGATCACTTTGTTGCATCCACAAATTCAAGTGATGGAGATGTAGACTCTGGTGATGATGAGTCAGACACCTCGCAGCCAAAATTATCACCACGACCATTGCGGCTCCCTGATCGTAATGCCCTCACCACTCGACATGAAACCAAACTATAAGCCTTATTGATCAAAAATTAAGTGAAATTAATGTTTTTTATCTTTTTTTATTAGGTTTACTAAAATACATAAAATATTTTGTAAATATTGTTTTGTACGATTTTTTATTATTATTATTATATTTAATTATAACTTGCATTTTAAACGCTGATTATAGTTTATTGATTAAAATGTATAATATATAATATATATATAAATCATAAACTATTAAAATACAAAACTTAATTAAAATCAAATACAAAATGTTTAATAATTTAATTGAGAAAAATTATACATAATATGTTTCTATATAAAAAAAAAATACATAAATTAAGATTACATTGGAGTGATAAAACCCACAGAAAATAAGTTTAATCGCACATGTCTGTCTCTTCGGTTTCTTCTTCCTCTATGTATTCCTCGTCGACCGATGCCTCCTGTAATACCAGATAACAATGGACATATTAGTAAATAGGTACTAAAGTGTATTTATATTTATTTATTTATTAATATTTATATTTTATATGTATTTATAAATACTTCTTGATATGGACAATAGTGACAACAAGTGGTTCCTAATCTTATGTGATAAAGTATCTTGTAAAAAAAAAATAATATTAATAAACTTATAGACCGAACTGTACCTGATACTGTTGGTATTCGGAGATCAAATCGTTCATGTTGGATTCAGCTTCGGTGAATTCCATTTCGTCCATACCTTCGCCAGTGTACCAATGCAAGAAAGCCTTCCTTCTGAACATGGCCGAAAACTGTTCAGATATGCGCTTAAACAGCTCTTGGATGGCCGTGGTGTTTCCGATGAACGTGGAGCTCATCTTGAGGCCGCATGGCGGGATGTCACAAACGGCCGTTTTCACGTTGTTTGGGATCCAATCGACAAAGTAGCTCGAGTTCTTGTTCTGCACGTTCAACATTTGCTCATCCACCTCTTTCATGGACATGCGGCCCCTGCAAGTTGAAAATGCAGAAAATCTTAACTAGAGAAAGGATTATGGTCGTGTGCGACAACACCAATTTACCGATCTATCGCTATATATTACTATATATATTACTATATTAGACCATACTATTAATATGTTTTATGTGCGTATGCATTTGTGCTTCAGAAAGACTCCACTTGGGTGGGTTCTTGCGAATATATGATTTATAATCGAAGAATTTAAGACGTACTTTCGTCTAATGACAGAAAAATTGATTTAATTTAAATAATAAGTATGAATACGATTTATTATTGTCTACAGTTTCACCTAGGGCCAATAATTAAAGTAGGACAGGTAATCTATTAACTTTAATTAAAAATATACTTTGTTATGAGTGAGGGGGCCGTAATGGGGACTTAACAGAGGACTTGTGCATTTGTGTATGTTAGTTTTACACTTTCACAAAAATAGCAGAGTTAAAAACAAATTCATTTTATGTAGTTTTTAAGGGTTGAGACAATGTTAGATGATTATGAAAGACCTAAAAAAACCTACTTGGCTATTATAATCAAAGGTGTACCTCCTGAAACTATCCTCAACAAAAAAAAACGGATTTTTGAATATTTTTTTCAATCGATATTATAGAGACTTGAGCCCAACCCACGCCCAAAATATAACATTTGTAATATTTGCAACCACGAGTAGGTTTGTCACCTAACCTAACCTACCATTAGGGTTATCGTATAATATTTAATACATAGGACGTAGGTCGTATAGGTGCTGAGTACATGCACGCCAATACTAACCTGAATATGGCGGCGACAGTGAGGTAGCGGCCGTGTCGTGGGTCGCAGGCGACCATCATGTTCTTGGCGTCGAACATTTGCTGAGTGAGCTCGGGCACGCTCATGGCCCGATAAGACTGGCTGCCACGGGCAGTGAGTGGCGCGAATCCCGGCATGAAGAAGTGGAGCCGGGGGAACGGGACCATGTTGACCGCCAGCTTGCGGAGGTCGGCATTCAGCTGACCGGGGAACCGGAGGCAAGTGGTCACGCCGGACATGGTCAGCGACACTAGATGGTTGAGGTCGCCGTACGTCGGGTTGGTCAGCTTCAGAGTCCGGAAGCATATGTCGTACAGAGCCTCGTTGTCGATCAGGTACGACTCGTCAGTGTTCTCCACCAGCTGGTGCACGGACAGCGTCGCGTTGTAAGGCTCCACGACCGTGTCCGACACCTTCGGTGATGGCATCACCGAATATGTGTTCATTATCCGGTCGGGGTACTCCTCGCGGATCTTCGATATCAGAAGTGTGCCCAGACCGGAACCGGTTCCACCGCCTAGCGAGTGCGCCAACTGGAATCCCTGCAGAGGCGCGTGACCGTTAATATCGTTATTATTACTATTATTGTTTATCGTTTTAAGTTAATGGCAACGTTTCAGGAAAATATCGTTAGGAAGAGTATGCTCACGAACTGCACCCTCCCGACAAATTTCGGGTAAATTAAAAAATAATACTTTCAGAGTTCCGTGAAAGCGTATTAAATGTAACTGTAGGTGTAAAACGTAAACGTAACCATCGCTTGTAGTTAGGTATATAATGTGTTGAAATGGTAATTATTGTATGAAGGTTGCTCACAAAAGTCTAACCGTCTAAAAAACCTTTGATATTATAATATTAACCGAAGTATTTAATTTCCGTCACGGTCTCATGACATAATATTTATAAATGAAAAATATTATAAGAATCATAAAAATGCAATAGAAGTAGCTGTTAACTAAATAGAATATACCGATGGAGTTTATATCTCGGTGAATTTACAATCAATAAACGCAACTAATAAATGTGCAAGGCCAGTATTAAAAAGTAAATTATATACTATGTTATATTGCTATTTATATTCTACATTCTCAAAGTTTCGGATTCGTTTGTACAAATACAACGTCTTTATCGAACATTTAAGATAGATATATCTTTATAAAATTTACAAGATATTGATGTTATGCATAACGAAACAATATATAAACGCGGGAGACCGTCGCAAGGTAACTTGTGTTAAATATAGTATATAATAATATGTATAATTATAATATTTCATATACGATATATGATATACCTATAAAGTAATATTTTAATATATGTTTGGATGATTTCCAAACGTTGGTCCCCGTCGCGTCGTGTAGCATCTACCAATCTATGTACAATATACATAATTTATATGTTTATATTGTTAACGATTTTTAGGTATGCTTGTAACTTATAACATCATCATAAATATGTAATTCTCGCACAAATAAATCAGAAAATAAAAATTTGATTTTGTCGTTGCGGGTTGTATATTATACACGCGAAATAAAATGGATGCTACTCTAGTGAATTTTGAATAAGACAATATTTATGTTTAGTCGTAGAATGTATACATGTAGTAAATATCATACTAAGTAGTTCTAGTTGAAAAATATTTTCAAAACTGTTTTATATACCTGCAGACAGTCGCAGTTCTCGCTCTCTTTGCGCACCACGTCCAACACGGCGTCCACGAGTTCCGCACCCTCCGTGTAATGGCCCTTAGCCCAGTTGTTTCCGGCGCCTGACTGACCGAACACGAAATTGTCCGGCCGGAAGAGCGCGCCGTAAGGTCCGGACCGGATGGACTCCATGGTACCGGGTTCCAGGTCGAGTAAGACGGCTCGCGGCACATATTTTCCACCTTCCGAACGATTGGCAGCTAGAAAGTCCAGCAAAATGTGAATCACAAGTCATCGGAAGTTGTGTTTATGTTGTGATTTACAACATTTAGTAAATAATAAAATGTGTAATAATAATGTGATGTATATTAGGCGTACTGGTTAATCGTGGTGTACGAAGTAATTCGTGGGTTACATAAGTCGTCTAAATGAGTGTTTACGAGTAGGTACTCGACAAAATTTTTTTTATTCAAAAAACCAAATTAAAAAATGTTTTTGAAAATATCTTTTGGCTTAATATGCTTGACTGTACTTGTACGCCTGTGTATAATATATAGTTTATCGACTTTTTGCAATAATTTTTGTAACATTTAATATCTAATATTATTGACTTATTACCGCAGGTCAAATAAATATTGTTCTGATTAGTCGGCATAGTCGACATAAACATATCATTTTTTATAATTAGAATTTCTGCAGTTACTTTATTGATTATAGGTATTATGCATATAAACTAAAATAATTATAATTAATTAAATAATAGTAGCCGAGTAGATAACTATAAGTACGTATTCACCATTCAGTATTCGCCTAATCATCGATATAAATATACTATACATAAATATTATATTATAAGTATTTTATTGTTTTGTACGTTTAAAAATACACGATCACAAAAACAGTTGATTAACAGGCAAACATCCGTTTTCAATGACGACCTTTAATAGTGTCGATTGTATCTTATATTCGTATATAGTATCAGTATGAGTATTCATCTTCAATAAAACGAATCACTATAGGTATTTGACTTAACCGGAGGGGAAGTAATGCCAACAGCAGTTCTCCCTCCAGTTCTCGATACCATACAACAACAAAAAAGGAATCTGACTTAATGGCTGCTTTTATTTGATAGGTTGTGATAGGTTGGTATGACAAAAAAAATGAATTAAATTAAAATGAATAATTAAATTGATCAGCTTACAAAATGCGATAAACATTATTTATTTATACACTGCAGTATTGCATTTAAATATTATTATTTATCATTATTATTGACATTACAGAAGTGCATAAAATACGTAGTAATTTGCAAACGTGTTTGTGCGATGGTTGATGAAAATATAAATAGGAAAAGACGAGTTGCAGTGAAAAATTATACTAACCGCATTAGCTGAATAATATTTTTAAAAAATGTTTCCATTCTAAGTACTATACCTACGGCATAATATAGATAATTAGAACTAAGAAGTACGTAATAATAATCGCAGGTACGTGTAAAAATATATATTCGTATAATGTGCCTACAGTTTACTGTGTACACTTATCTCTATTTTACATTGTTCTCGCCTCTCGGCTACACGCGCACAAGTTTAAAATTATAAATCGAAAAATAACACGAAACTAGCAGTTCTATAGCCAAACCGCAGACAGACTGCGTCGCATCCATTTTGTTCTCTTTGTCTACCATCAAACATTCA